ACAGAGTAATCAGCGTGTGGCTAATCGAGGGTTGATCATTTCGAGCGAATTGCTCGAGTGGCGATGGTTGAATATAGCGAGAGTTATGGGTATATTCCAGATCATCAGGAGCGCCTGCTCTGTAATGATGGTCTTCAGGGCAAGGCACAGGGATGGGAGGAGTCGGAACATGGGCGTCATTTAAAGCACCATCGCTTCCTTCGAGCCCACCGGTACGCTGGCGGCTGGAGTGGGCAACTTCATGTGAAGCTCGCCTGGCATTATTGCCATCCGGGGTTGGTACATGTCCACGTCCATGGCCATGGCCATTCTCTGTTAACCCTGGTGAACTCGTAATATTCGGATCTAACGTCAAATTCTCAAGCTTTCGGATCTCCTCAAGAGCCATGCCCTCACCCTTGAGGAGGTGATTGCAACGGCTAGTAGTGAACCCTGCAGTCTCAACAGTTGACAAGCGGTAGTAGTCGGAGCCGTAGAAGCAGAAGCTGCAGTAACAGCAAGCGAGGGAGCCAGATATTTAAGGTTGGGCCAGTAGCAAGAGCAGGCCCCCAGTAGTATCCCCACAGGCGATAGCAGGCAGAGTCATGTGGATAGAAACTGAGCTCAGTCGGCAGCACGACGAGACAGGGTGGAGACGGGCTGGGTGCGCGGGGCCTACAGGGCGGGGCGACCGTCCCAACGGGCTTGGGCTATCTTGGTCGAACAGCAGCCAGCAACTGGCACAGAGCAAGACAGGCCGATTTGGCTGGGTATACTCCTAGAGAGGAGAATATGAGCCTATAGAGAGGCGCTGGCGAGATACAAGGCCGATGGGCAGGAAGACGGGAGCTGCAACCTGGAGTCGCGCGAGGTGGTGAGCGGTGATGATGGAGGGAAAAAGCAGACGACGTTCTCTCGTCGCCAGGCATCGGGTGAAGCAGGCGAGAGCTCGGGATAAGGTCACGTGGGCGGCAAACCCCCCTGCCTTGGAGGGCGTTTGTGGAGGGATCCGTGGGTGCGCTGCGATTGGCTGGAGATAAGGGCCTTGGCATCCAACAGCCGCCAGGGGCATCAAGCGCAATAGACGCGCGCCCAGCCTGTCGCGTTTGTTTCTGAGCCAGCCAACGCCAAGCCACGTCGCTCGAATTAAGGGATTCTCCTGAAAGACGCAGGCCGGGATCGTGTCTGTTGGCTGTTGTTTTGTTGTCCCAGCCCTCGTGGATGGCCATTTCATTGTCCTCTGCTTCTCCTCCTGCTTCTCCTCCTCTTCTGCGCGCTGTTGTCTTGTCTCTGCTGGGGTTGGTGAGGCCTCAATCCTTCTGTCTCTCGTTCTCGCTTTCCCCGCTCCCGCAGCGGACTCCTTCTCACGGCTCTCCTCCTTCGCCCTACAATTTCAGAGCTATACACTGTTCCGTTGTCGCCTGTCCATATTCCTTTCGGGAACCTCTTTTAGCAAATGCTCGTGCTATCTTTTCCCCCTCTACCTATTTTACTCAGTATCCCCTTGAACTATTTCTTTGGCATGCGCATCACCCGCAACGATGACCAGGCCTCAGATAATTCGAGCAGGTGAGTATCTAATGAAGGGTACAATATAGCATAACGGGGTTTATTGCGTGTTGCTTGAGTTCATAGACATCTAATACGATCAAAACCATTCTTTCAGATACCGTCGACCTGCAGGGTAACCGTTCCCAATCCACGCACGACCAGACACGCCAACAGGACCAACTAGGTTCGTCAGACGGCAATCGAACAGCGCCACACCAATCTCTAGCGATGCGGAATGCGGAGAAAGAGGCCAGAGAGGAATTGGTTCAAAGTCCCAGAGTTTCTGTAGATCGCAGCCACGCCGACGACTCTGAGGATGAAATGAATGGCCATGACCACGGGGCACATCATGACGGCATTGATCACTATTCAAACGGCCATTCGTCAGCAGATGAAGGAGATATTACCGACGGCGAAAGTGATGACCAGTTGGATGATGATATGTTGGATAAGATATCCAGTTCTCCATCCATCGATGATGGTAGGTGCCACTCTTTTTCAACTTTATCCTGCATGTCCCCATGCGCTCTCTTTCTCTCTCACTCGACAGCCCCTGGGTCGTTGAAGAGTCCCTTCGTTTCTATTTCGATTTGTATCTCTATTCTATTTCATTTGGGGCCTGATTTTCTGTACTTCGCATCCCAATCCTTGGTCCGAATGCGCTCCCCCGTTTTCTTGTATTCGTCCGTAGGGGAAGTTGATGATTTGAGGGTGTGTAATGCACTGCACTGACCCGAAGGCCTCGCTGAGCCGCAACAATTCGTTGGGAATGGCGCACTGTCAACCCGCCCAAGGGGATGGATATGAGTAACTTGGATTACATATGGCAACAACGCTCTACCCCTCCCACCAAACATGATGATAACCGCCATAATTGCTTCCTTGTTCAAGAAATGGGAACGCTATGTTTTTCAACTAAATTAGTATTGTTATATAGCCATCAGCTAGTTCTTATGGACGTTCCATTCGATGCTCGTTTCGTGATGGCTACCCCATATGTTATTTTCTTCTTCTACATTTTCCTACTCTATTTTTTTTTGGCCTCCTTTTGATGGAGCTCATAATCACTTACATCAAAACAGAAGATATCGATTTCGAATTTGTCTACGCTTTACATACTTTCGTGGCGACTGTCGAGGGACAGGCGAATGCCACCAAGGGTGACACAATGGTTCTCCTGGACGATAGTAATAGCTACTGGTGGCTTGTCAGGGTTGTGAAGGATGGCAGCATAGGTTGGTTCATGCGTCGTTGAATTTATAGTATTGGTACTAACAGTTCTAGGTTATCTGCCCGCTGAACATATCGAGACCCCAACAGAACGCCTGGCGCGTTTGAACAAGCATAGAAATATTGATGTATGCTTCTGGTGTCATGATTTCTTACCAGCTAGTGCTAATTTTATGTCTAGCTCTCTGCGACAATGTTGGGAGATAACGCGGAGAAATCAAAGAACCCCCTGAAAAAGGCCATGCGGAGGCGAAATGCAAAGACCGTTACTTTTACGTCTTCTCCAGTTTACCACGAACCGTCTGATGTCGAATATTCTACCGAAGAAGAAGACGACCCGGATGACCAGTTCTTTGACAATGACGACGATGAAGAAACCCTCCAATCGGAAACGAATGATGGGCAAGAAGAATCCCATGACGAGGACATCGTTGTCGAGCCACTTCGACCAAAAGTACAAACAGATAAAGACGGTTCAAGCGCACGTGAAGTTGAACCTGACCGAGATCCTAGCCCTGAGAGGGTTCGGGCAAACGAGGATTCTTTTGATAGACAAGGTGAACCCAAATTTCTCCCCTGGCAATTTTATTCCACGCAACTAAGTCAAGAAACAGATGACAATCCTACCGGCAGGTCGAGGAACGGTGTAGTGCGGAACACAGACTCGTTCTTCAAGGATGATAGCCTCGAGACCAAGAAGATATCATTGACTCCAAACCTCTTGCGTGACGATTCGAATAATGGACCTGCGGCCACAAATGATCCTAAAGAGGTATTGTTTCAATGCCTTGTTCAATTTACTCTATATATCTCTCTTTCACATTTGGCTAACTAATTCCACTTTGGTCAATTAGGTGAAAGGACGTGGAAGCCTCGAAGCTTTTGATAAAGTCATCAATTCGGGAGACAAAACCAAGGATGACAAAAAGCGAAAGGAGAAAAAATCAGGCATGCTTAGTGGCTTATTCAAAAGGAAAGACAAGAAAAGTAAAGCCATTGACGATGATATGGAAGAATCAGAGAATATCTCAGAGGAATCGACACGCTCGGCGACTCCTCCCAAGACATCTAGTGAATCATCGAAGGAAGAACGTCAGTCCTCGAAATCTCAAAACTCATCCCAGCGATATCCTAGCAAACTACAAAAAACCCCACGCGATACTTCTCCAGTTAAGACTGACAGTATGCAAGCAGTCGCCCAACAAGGGCTTAGCAATGTGGCAACTTCCACGACATCTACAGCAAACGATGGCCCCGGCGCTTCCGTGCGGGCCGTTCCACATGATTCCCAAGCTGATGTTCCACAGCTACTTCGTGTCAAAGAAGCGACTCGTGAAAAACCCGCAACTTCTACTTCTCAGGACCAAATTAGCCCGAATCTGGACTCCCCAACGACGACTACTTTCCTTAGCACATCAATCTCTCCTGTTGATTCTTCACAAAACCCATCAAGCAATGCCAGGAGCAACCCAAGCAAAGAAACGATTCGATCCACGCCTATATATGAGGAAGAATATGAGGACATGGATTCTCCAATTCACATATCATCTCCAGAGCACCGAAATCGTAATAACCCTCCAGATTTGACAACAGATACTTCATCTGTCGATGAAACACAGAATCTGGCACTGTCCCCGACACCCTCCTCTCCGGAGCTTGTTGAACATCCAGACGACAAAGTGGAGGAAAACAGCGCCCCGACTTCCTCTACCAACACACCAACATGGAGCGAGGCTAGCCTTCGTTCTTATCTTGACGATGATACCGATATCCGGGATCTCCTCATCATTGTCCATGACAAGTCTAATGTGACACCCGCAGGCCCTGATCATCCGATAACAGGTAGTCTATTCAAAGAAGAGAGCAAGGGACTTAATGAAATGTCAGTCCGGCTCGATGAGCTGTTAACTGGCTGGATGGCTCGGAAAATGAAAGCATCTGTGGCGAAATAGGCGATACCAATCACTTTATTGATCCTTCACCCTTCCGTATGCATCTATAATATCCGTCCGGTTGAGCGCGACTACGGCGCGAACAAGTTCCGTTCAAGGTATTTCGCACCACTTTCACCCACAACAAAAATGTATCACTCCATGTCATATCGCGGAGCTTATACACGTCTTCCTGCTTGATTTGCTTGTGTCGATATCGAGATGGAAAAACTTACCCGAAAAAGCAAGAAAATAACCGAGAAGCAAATGGCGGGCGTTTACGAAAAATACGATCACATGAGACTAAGGCGCTTAATTATTTGCATGAAACCACAAAACATTCGATATTATAAGATCCGCGATACTTAAATATATCGGTGTTGACGAGGCGTGTTCTTGTTTTCAGGCTTTTGGCCTCCGGGTGTCCTTCCTTCGTGCGCCCTTTTTTATTATTGGCTGACCTCTATCGCCTTGACTGTTGAATCTATTCACTCCATTTCCTCCCTGAATTTCCTTCCACCAAAAAATAGTCAATCAGGGCGTTCTCTTCTGGCAGCATCTATTCCCAACCATATTTCCAAAGGTCTTCCATCTCCCATCCCCCTCCGGTGCTCGCCATTCACGCCACAGCTCTTCATTATCTCCAGTCCGCACCACTATCCGTTTCGATCTCATTTGTTGCGTTCATTGTTTTCACACTACGAGTACGACATGATGGGTATATCACTACCCCGTTCCTTTTCCTCTGTTCACTGCCTTCTTTTTTTTGTGCTTCAATCAAATACAATACCCAAAATACCCACGTGTACCTTCGTTTTTGATCGTATCCCTCTGCTATTCATTTATACATATCATGCCTTCTTAGTGATCGCTGCCGATTGCCGTTTATTCCTATCCATCCGCTAGCTAGTCTCGCCTCTTTGGTTTTGTTTCCCGTTCATATACTAACGTCTTATCCCCTTCGAATTTATTTCACCATTCTCTTATTATTCCTCCTCACCTCGTTTCTTATCACCTCAAATCGTCGGTCTCTTATCTTGTGACCATCCCTCAAATTTACCTTTTGATTCTCTTATATTTAATTTCACATCCTCACTTTGCTGTTGTTTTCTTTTTTTCCCGAATTTTCCCTCGGGCTGGACTGAGGGGTCATTATTATTGTGCTTCATTTTTGGTTAGCTTTAGGGGGTCAAGGGCAAGGATGGTAAATCGGAGATTAATTTCCTTTACTCCTTGAGCCGTTTTATCCAATGCTTTCTGCCATCTTTCACTTTTTCTCATTTATTATGATGTAAAGAGTACACTTGCGGCATTGAGACCAGAGTTAAGCCGCGATAGATAACTGGATAGGAGTATTTCTACTGTAGGTACATAACATATGGTACTGTATATGTACAGGAACACACCTGGACCCTTATTAAATGGATCTCGATACAAATCGCTCTTTTCTTTTTTGGTCGATGGGTTTTACTTTTCTTTGCCCCGGGTTTAATACAGTCCCAGTTAAAACCATTTTC